TTCTGGTAGGTGCACGGAAAGTAGGTACTGAGATAACAGGAAAGTACCGAAAATTCTAGTTCTAAATGCACCAAGAAGCAGCACAAATGGCATTGTAACGAGATTTTAAACTGGAAAAAAAAAAAAACTCACGAGTAACACCCTCTCTGCGCACTCCCGGAATAGCACAGCGAGTCCTTGACAGTCGTGGCCAAGAAGGGATCGGCGCCATGGCTGAGCAACAGCGTCACCATGTCCCCGTTGCCGTAGGCGGCGGCGACTTGCAACGGCGTCTCCGTGCACCGATCCTCGTTCACGCGGGCGCCGCCTTCGACTCTCGCTCCTTTATCCAGCAAAACGCTGGCCAAGTGCGAGTTGCCCGAGAGGGCGCAGTAAGTCAACGGCGTCCAGTGTTGGGTATCCGCGTGGACAGAGTTGGGCGGCGTTTCGCCGTCAATCGAGGCGCCGGACTCGAGGATGTGGCGCACCACGTTCTCTTCGCCGTGGAGACAGGCGAGGATCAACGGCGTGAAGCCGAATTCGTTGACAGTGTTTACCTGGCGAAAAAAGAAAAAAAAGAAAAGGAAGATATTATTTCAATCGATAAAACTGAAGACACTGTCAATTTCTAATTAATTTTAAATGTGCATAAATAAACTCCTGCTTCGATCAACGAACTCATGGAAATCAGAATAATTTACTCAATCAACGAACCTCAGCGCCCGCCAAAATTTTTCATTTCCTATCCGCAAAAATTATTTTGTGTTCAAGCGTTTCGGGAACAGCGTCAAAAAGTTTCGAAAATGGGTCAAAGAAATGCAAAGAAGACTTCCATTCTTTAGAAAATAAATCCAAATCAAGCGAGGCGTAAGATCATTATAATAATTTCGGAAAAGCCTCAGAATAAACTATGAAATTATTCGCAACATTCATTGGCAACTTTCTTAAAATTCGATCAACGAACTTCTGCGTCTGCCACAATTCGATTTAGAAATATTTTAATCTATCCTCTGCGAAACTTATTTTGCTTTTTCGAGCATTTCAGGGAAAAACGTCATGGAAATTCGAAAATGGGTCAAAGCAGCGCAAAAAGAGAAAGACTTCAAATCCTCAGAAAATGAATTTAAATTCAAATGTAAGCTTACAATCACTGAAATAATTCCGAAAGAGCCTGAGAATAAAATTCGTAACGTTTTATTGGTAATTCTCTTGAAATTCACGCAACTTTTTCGTGTACAGTAGTTTACTTTTAAAAACGAATTCCTGAAATTATTGTACAGTACTTCATTAATAACCCTCGAGGGAAAACGTGATTTGCGGAATACTGTAAATCGATTTGCCTGATTAATGTGGTTTGTGAAACGAAACAAGTTTGTTATGCGAAGCACTGAGCAGTTACCATCAGAGGAATCAACAATCATTACACAAATACAGTACTAGAAAATCAATGAAACAAATGAGCAAGTACCAAAAGAGCAACATTGACACAAAACAAAATCACGCATCGAAACAAAAATCGAGTACTGTACTTGAACTCGTCAAAAGAGCAAGAAAACACAAATCCGATTAAAAGAGCTCNCCATAGCAAAACCTGTTCTTGCTCTTTGCTTCCTGAGCTCCTTCTCATTCCAACAGATTGGATTCTGTGTGACTTCCTTCTGTACATTTATTTTCTGTATCTTAAAATTTAAACCAATTATTTTATTCAATTTTTGAGGTGACTTTTTCTCAACTATTGATCTACATACAGGAGAACCAATTCAAAATATTATCATTGACGTCATATGTGTGAAAATAAGTTCGCGACATTCGGACGTTCTGTTCCAACAAGGTCCAATTACGTCCGCATCTCGGGGTCCCCCTGTACTGTAAGTCTGTAACCCACGTTCATGAAACGTACCCAAATGCCGACTCTCGGCCGAATGATACATGGCCTCCTGCAAAACCTTGACTTGCCGCCGGGTGAGCTTGACAACCTGGGTACACTCCGCACCCGCCGACCCGGAACTCATGGTGCTCGACCTGGACGAGTTGTCCACGTGGGTCGGGAACACGAGGACCTTTTCGGGAGACTTGATCACACCCTGCGAAACTCCTTCTTCCAGGATTTCCTCCAAGGACAGCATGTCCTTCTTGGTGGCACTCGAGTCGCTCAGGGGGTGGGACAGGAGTTTGTGCAATATTCCGCGTTGTCCGTGAGCCGCTGCCACCGAAATGGCCCTGTTTTTGTTCGTGCAACGAAGACAATGAATTACAGTACATGTACAATAAAACTGGTAAACACCTCTTCTACGAGACACACAACAAAAATTTCCATTCCGAAAAATCCTCATAGAAAGGGACTCGATACCAGCATGTAATCAGATGACCCATGTTCGAAAGAATTTCGCTCCATTCCAGGGAAAATAAAGTCGCAAATGAATAAGAGCTTTAACAAGAGATTTTCGTACGTACGCGTGGATTTATTTTCAATTGAATAAAATCAATTTTTGAAAATTTTAAGCGGGGCAACATCAGGTTTTTTAAAAAAAATGTAATCTTACGCATCGAATTTTTCTTTATTATTTGATCACGATAAAGAGTCAAGATACTCAAGAAGCATGAAAATTCCACACAAATCTGTCGTGGACTTTTTCACCTATTCCCCACACGAAAATTCGGTACTTTCCTGTTATCTCAGTTTCAGCAGAATGCGGGAAAATGAAATTCACAGTTTCTGGTAGGTGCACGGAAAGTAGGTACTGAGATAACAGGAAAGTACCGAAAATTCTAGTTCTAAATGCACCAAGAAGCAGCACAAATGGCATTGTAACGAGATTTTAAACTGGAAAAAAAAAAAAAACTCACGAGTAACACCCTCTCTGCGCACTCCCGGAATAGCACAGCGAGTCCTTGACAGTCGTGGCCAAGAAGGGATCGGCGCCGTGGCTGAGCAACAGCGTCACCATGTCCCCGTTGCCGTAGGCGGCGGCGACTTGCAACGGCGTCTCCGTGCACCGGTCCTCGTTCACTCGGGCGCCGCCTTCGACTCTCGCTCCTTTATCCAGCAACACGCTGGCCAAGTGCGAGTTGCCCGAGAGGGCGCAGTAAGTCAACGGCGTCCAGTGTTGGGTGTCCGCGTGGACAGAGTTGGGCGGCGTTTCGCCGTCAATCGAGGCGCCGGACTCGAGGATGTGGCGCACCACGTTCTCTTCGCCGTGGAGACAGGCGAGGATCAACGGCGTGAAGCCGAATTCGTTGACAGTGTTTACCTGGCGAAAAAAAAGAAAAGAAAAGGAAGATATTATTTCAATCGATAAAACTGAAGACACTGTCAATTTCTAATTAATTTTAAATGTGCATAAATAAACTCCTGCTTCGATCAACGAACTCATGGAAATCAGAATAATTTACTCAATCAACGAACCTCAGCGCCCGCCAAAATTTTTCATTTCCTATCCGCAAAAATTATTTTGTGTTCAAGCGTTTCGGGAACAGCGTCAAAAAGTTTCGAAAATGGGTCAAAGAAATGCAAAGAAGACTTCCATTCTTTAGAAAATAAATCCAAATCAAGCGAGGCGTAAGATCATTATAATAATTTCGGAAAAGCCTCAGAATAAACTATGAAATTATTCGCAACATTCATTGGCAACTTTCTTAAAATTCGATCAACGAACTTCTGCGTCTGCCACAATTCGATTTAGAAATATTTTAATCTATCCTCTGCGAAACTTATTTTGCTTTTTCGAGCATTTCAGGGAAAAACGTCATGGAAATTCGAAAATGGGTCAAAGCAGCGCAAAAAGAGAAAGACTTCAAATCCTCAGAAAATGAATTTAAATTCAAATGTAAG